GAAACTATTGAAAAAAATTAACAAAACTAAAAGTTGGTTCTTCGAAAAAATAAATAAGATCGACAGACCCTTAGCCATGCTAACGAAGAGAAGAAGAGAGAGAACTCAAATTACTAACATACGGGATGAAAAAGGCAATATCACAACAGATGCTACAGAAATACAGAAGACAATTAGAAATTATTTTGAAAACCTATATTCCAATAAAATAGAAGATAGTGAAGACATCGATAAATTTCTTAAGTCATATTATTTGCCCAGACTGAGTCAGGAGGATACTCACAACTTAAACAGACCTATAACAATGGATGAAATAGAAGAAGCAATCAAAAGACTACCAACCAAGAAAAGCCCAGGACCAGATGGGTATACAGCGGAGTTTTACAAAACCTTTAAAGAAGAATTATTACCAATACTTTTCAAGTTATTTCAGGAAATAGAAAAAGAGGGAGCTCTGCCAAATTCATTCTATGAGGCCAACATCACCCTGATTCCTAAACCAGACAAAGACACTTCAAAGAAAGAAAACTACAGACCAATATCTCTGATGAACCTAGATGCAAAAATCCTCAATAAAATTCTGGCGAATCGGATACAAAGGCACATCAAAAAAAATTGTGCACCATGATCAAGTAGGATTCATACCTGGGATTCAAGGATGGTTCAATATATGGAAATCAATAAATGTTATACACCACATCAATAGACTTAAAGATAAGAACCATATGATCATCTCGATAGACGCAGAAAAAGCATTCAACAAAGTACAGCATCCCTTTATGTTCAAAACATTAGAAAAACTAGGGATAACAGGAACTTACCTCAACATAGTAAAAGCTATCTATGCTAAGCCTCAGGCTAGCATCATTCTGAATGGAGAAAAATTGAAGGCATTCCCTCTAAAATCTGGAACAAGACAGGGATGCCCTCTATCACCACTTCTATTCAATATAGTTCTCGAAACACTGGCCAGAGCAATTAGACAGACGAAAGAAATTAAAGGCATAAAAATAGGAAAAGAAGAACTTAAATTATCACTATTTGCAGATGACATGATTCTATACCTAGAAGACCCAAAAGGGTCTACAAAAAAACTACTAGAACTAATAAATGAATTCAGCAAAGTGGCAGGATATAAAATCAACACGCATAAATCAAAGGCATTTCTGTATATCAGCGACAAATCTTCTGCTTAACAACATGGTCTATTCTGAATGAACATCCTCTCTCAAACAATTCCAGGTATATAACTGTATATAACTGTTCAGAAACAACTTTTGAAACATTGCATATGATCTACTGGGTTGATTCAGAATGTATGCCATAACTAAGGCATATTTCAACAGGAAGTTCACTAACCATTTTGTTATTGCAAACCTCGAGTTCTGCATGATGTCCTACTTCCTCATAAGTTTGCAATCACATGAGGACCTAACCTGAAAAATCCAGGCAGTGGTTCTTCAAGTCTGTGATTCTTGCTAAGATATACATCTCAGTTTATGACCAGGTGGTTCAAAGATCTAGCTGAACCCCATCAGCATTCCTTGCCCAGCATGTGAGCCAGAAGTGTGGTGTTGTGTCAAGAGCTGACTACTCCTATGTACCCTTCATGTCTTCTTTTATTACACTCTTCCCCAAATCTTCAGATTCTTATTTTTTATTGGGGGAGGAATCAATGTTTGTATTACTGTTATTATTTTTATCCTCTCTAACTTTTCATAATCCAACATTGGAATTCAGATAATGCCCTTTTTTTCTTTTTGATAATTTTTGTATTAATTAATTTGTTTTAATTAGTTATACATGACAGTAGAATGCATTTATGCACTTTGATATATTATACATAGATGAGATATAATTTCTCATTTTTCTGAGTATACATATTGTAGAATCATATTGGTCATGCAGTCACATATATACATGAAGTAATAATGTCTGTTTCATTCTACTATCTTTCCTATTCCCACATCCCCTCCACTCCCCTCGCTTCACTTCTCTCTGCCTAATCTAAGGTAACACTATTCTTCTCTAGTGCCCCCACCTTATTGAGAATTAGCATATGCATATTAGAGAAAACATTCAGCCTTTGGTTTTTTTGGTATTGGTTTATTTTGTTTAGCATGATATTCTCCAACTTTATCCATTTACTGGCAAATACCATAAATTCACTCTTCTTTAAAGCTGAGTAATATTCCATTAAGTATATATACCACATTTTTCACATTTTCTTTATCCATTCATCTGTTGAAGGACACCTAGGTTGGTTCCATAGTTTAGCTATTGCAATTGAGCTGCTATAAATATTGATGTGGCTATGTCACTGTAGTATGCTGATTATAAGTCTTTGGGGTATAAACCAAGGAGTGGGATAGCTGAATCAAATGATGGTTGCACTTCAAGTTTTCTGAGGAATATCCATACTGCTTTCCATAGTGGTTGCACCAATTTGCAGTCCCACCAGCAATGTATGAGTGAACATTTCTCCCCACATCCTCGCCAACATTTATTATTGCCTATATCCTTGATGATTGCCATTCTGACTGGAGTGAGATGAAATTTTAGAGTAGTTTTGATTTGCATTTCTCTTAATTGCTAGAGATGTTGAACTCTTTTTCATATATTTGTTGATCAATTGTATTTCTTCTCCTGTGAAGTGTCTGTTCAGTTCTGTAGCTCATTTATTGTTTTTTGGGGATTAAGTTTTTTGAGTTCTTGATATATCCTAGAGATTTATGCTTTATCAAGGTGCATATGGTAAAGATTTTCTCCCAATCTGTAGGCTCTCTCTTCACGTTATTCATTATTTCCTTTGCTAAGAAGGTTTTTAATTTGAATCAATCTCATTTATTAATTCTTGATTTTACTTCTTGCACTTTAGGAGTCTTGTTAAGGAAGTCAGATCCTAGGATGACACAGTGAAGATTTGGGCCTATTTTTCTTCTATTAGGTGCAGGAACTCTGTTCAAATGCCTGAGTCTTTGATCCACTTTGAGTTGATTTTTGTGCAGGTTGAGAGATAGAGGTCCAATTTCATTTTGCTACATATGGATTTCCAGTTTGGCCAGCACCATGTGGTGAATAGGCTATCTTTTCTCCAGTGAATGTTTTTGGCACCTTTGTCTAGTATAACATAACCGTATTATGTGGGTTTGTCTCTATGTCCTCTATTCTGTACCATTGCTCTACAGTGTATTTTGGTGCCAATAACATGCTATTTTTGTTACTGTAGCTGTGTAGTATAGTTTAAGGTCTGGTATTGTGATGCCTTCTGCTTCACTTTTCTTGCAAATAATTGCTTTAGTTTTTCTGGGACTCTTATTTTTCTAAATAAATTTAATGATTGCTTTTCCTGTTTCTATGAAAAATGTCATTGGAATTTAATAGCAAATGCATTAAATCTGTATAACACTTTTGGTAATATGGTCAGTTTGACAATATTAATTCTGCCTATCCAGGAGCATGGGAGAACTTTCCATTTTCTGAAGTTTTCTTCAATTTCTTTCTTTAGTGTTCTGTAGTTTCCATTGTATAGGTCTTTCATCTCTTTTGTTAGATTGATTCCCAGATATTTTTTTGAGGCTATTGTGAATGGGGTATATTGTAACATACTATGACTGAACACTTTGACCTTTCTTTCTGAGTAGATTTCCCATACCATCTGGGTATCTGAAAACCACAAAAACTGAATAGTTTTCTCAGATACTTACTTTAGAACAGTAATGTTCAGTGATGCATCTTCCCTATACTGGAAAAGGGCATAAGCTAGAAATAGTGGAAGTAGAAAGGCTGGGAAGGAGAGGGACACACTGTCTAAATAATACCAAATATTTTCCTGCTGCAGGTATACTATTAACTGACCAACAAAAACCACAGTAAAAACAACATATTAAAAAATGCATGAGTTTTGTATTGCCATGAGCCATTCTCAGCCTCAGCTGTGTGGCTGTGACCATAGATTTATGTAATCACTGCCTGTGCACAGGTTGAGAAAATTAGGATGAGCTACAAGTCAGATCTCTTGTCTTCTGTTCCTGTCTGTTCCAAGGACAATGGTACCCTGTTCATTCTGTTGCTGCTTAGGTAAATATCAGGAATGCAGCAGTGATGAGTCTAGCTGAGACATGCCTTATCCAGAGGCATTGGATGTGCACTATTCTTCGGAGTCCTCAGCCTGTTCCTCTCACAAAGGGTGTATATTTTACTTCTACACAGTCAGCACATGGGCAGCTGGGCTACCCCAAGCAGGGAGGTTTTTGTTTAGAGCTGTACCACTGTGTGAGGAAGTATAAACCATCCTGGCAGTAATAGACTCCAACATCCTCAGCCTCCACCCTGCTGATTTTCAGTGTGAAATCTGTCCCTGACCCACTGCCACTGAACTTGTCTGGGACCCCAGAGGCCCTGTTGGAAGCCATATAGATCAGAAGCCTTGGAGAACGGCCTGGCCTCTGCATGTACCAATTCAAATAACTGTTGCCATCACTGTGTAGGAGACTCTGACTGGACCTGCAGGAGATGGAGGCTGGCTGTCCAGGGGTAACCGACAGGGAGAGAGGAGTCTGGGTCATCACATTATCCCCATTGTATCCTGTAATTATGACAGAAGCACATGGTTATATATAAATGTTGTAATTTTTGTATTTTCTTTTTTTCATTTCTGCATAAATGTTTTTCATAGCTTTGGTTCACATTGTAAAAATATTCAATAAAAGACACAAATAGTTTAAAGCATAGAGAGTCTTTAGGAAATCTGCTGTTATCTGGCTCCATTAGTGCTAGTCTTCACCTGATTACAAGTCTTTGCTTATTCTTAAAACTTCCTCTTTCTCACAGATTTAAACAGCACATGCACAACCCAGGGGACAGGAACTGCACATTGCTCATGTGTACACAATACACACAGGCAGCAGAGGATGCTCAGAGCTCACCCTCTCTCCCCATTCTCCTTCCTTGTGCCCTTACCAGGGATCCAGAGCAGCAGCAGTCCCAGGAGCTGAGCAGGGAGCCTCATTTTGAGAAGCTGAGCTGAGGAGTCCTGGTGAGTCAAGGCCAGGTTAGAGCTGAGCTTTTATGTCAGCCTTGCAGGAAGGTCCTCCCCAGGGAGCAGCATTCAAATCACCTGGTGGGTTCAGCCAATTCGATCAGAAGAAATAATAAAATCCTGTGGCCTTCTCTTGTGAGAAAGTGGTTTGGAGGAAATCCAATATGAAGAGCCCATGGTGCACATGACCTAAGTGTCATCACACAGCATCAGACCCAAGTATGTGTGTGTGCCAGCAGTTCAGTCTAGGGTCAGAGATTGGAGGGGGCACATGGCCACCATGCTTGCCCCCCTCCCAGCTACTCTAGAGAAACACACAGGGCACAACCCTTTGGTACTGAACTTCTGGGGTTTATTCAATAATTGAAGGGGCTTGAGCTAGTTGAAGAGGACTTTGAAACATGTTGTTACCGGGTTAGCAGCTTCAGAATATTAGCACCAAGTGTTAGAAATGGTCTTTCTGTGGACCTAATAAATGAAAATTTTCCAGAATGATCAATTCTAAAGAATTTGACAGGGAGAAAAAAATTCCTATTTCTTGTGGGTAGAGAGTTAAGAGCTTTAAAAAAAAAAACAAGAGGAAATGAAATGGGAAGAGAATTTATACATCATGGTATGAATATGAAATTCTATGTAACAACATGTGCATTGTAGGAAATATCCTGTCATACTCACCTCACTGTGTCTGTGCACCAGATGAATCAAATTATTCATTAGGAATTTGCTCTGGTCAATAGGAAGAACAAGGAATATTTTCATTTATGTGGTTTTTAATGGTATTTAAGAAATTCTATGCTTTCCTACTCTTTCTGTCCATGCAGACTCAGGTTTCTCAGGGCTCCTGTTTCTTCCCCAGTCTCTGTGAGAACCTGTATCTCTCACTGGTCTGTGTATGAGGCTGTGGGTCCTCAGCTGAGACCCAGATTCCTTCCACTAGAGGGGCAAGAACTGCACCCACCGTTTTAATGTGCCAGTGTCACCTGCACCCAGGACAGACATTCTCCTGGACCTTCATCACAAGAGCTGCTAAGGAATAGGGTGCTCAATGAATGGGGTGGAGGAGGAGGGTGCTTTCCATTTTAGTGTGTATAAAGGGTCTCATCTTTAAAAGGAAAAAGACATTGGTGTTTATCTTCTGGAAGCAGCACATACTACAACTAAGAGCACTGATGACTACTGACCCTAATTTTGACAATACATATTCATCTTCTTCCCAGGAAATAAACCACTTGCTATAAAGCATTTATTTACATTTGGTCTGTTTGCACCAAAATTATCAATTAAGGCAAATAAAGGGGATAAGGTTGTTCATCACATGCAGATAGAAACAAAAGTGATTGATGTTCAATTACAATATCCCTAAGGGCATTACACCTAAACAAAAATTACGCCTTTTGTTTCTGACTTAGTAACATTTCAAATTCCGTAAAACAAATTTGTCTTAAATCTAAGCTTAAAGTGCAGTATTACTCATAACTATAGCCCAACAATCCAAAAAACTTGTAGAGATAAATGAAGAGGCAATGAAAAACCTGTTCTAAAAAGTCATCCAATGTTAGCATTTCAAAGAGAGAAATGGAAGTTGAAATGCAAATTGACTGAATCTAGCAATATATTCTCAATAAGAGAGTCAAATACAGAAAAAAAAATTTGCCCATAAATTGTAACAAAGTAACTGTATAAATAACTGTATTTGAGTGACCTCTAGTGTGTTGTAAGGACCAGAAGAAATAAAACACAATAGAAACAAGGAAGTTAATGAAGTCAAAGTTAATATCCTCCCAGACTAGAGTGGCAGGTGAGATTGTGACAGGAGAAGCAAAATTATTTAAAAATGTTCTGAAGCTCCTCTCAATGGCATGACTGGGCATCTCGCAGCAGGATGCCTTTCTGGTTGCTTCAGGGAGGATGTGGTGGCCACTTCCTGTGGGGGGGGGGGTGCGGGTCTGTGGTTTCTGAGCCTCAGTGGGAAGGAGGAAAGTATTCTGCAGCTGTCCTGGCCATGCCCTGGACCTGTTCACCCAGGAGAGGTGCCTGTGCCATGACACAGGCCCACATGTCCTCTCCAGGGCTCTGTACCATCCCTACCTCAGACTGATGTCCACCATCCCCTGGGCCCCTCAGATTCTCCTGAACCAAGATCCAGAGCCTCCCTTGGGCTTGTGTGCTACTCCCTACAGGGTCCTGGTGAGTGTGCTGCTCACAGGGTGTGTATAGAGCTCCCAGCCCCACACAGGAGACTGTGCAAGTGCAGTCAGTAGAATTTGTTTCAATGTGAGACCACACATGTGAATGCGAGTAGAAATACACTCTGAACATCATCTTTGCATGTGTCAAAAACCACTTGCTATAAAGCATTTATTTACATTTGGTCTGTTAAGATAAGAATTTAATCATACTCACCAGGAAATCTATTATGTTAGGATAGGAAATCATCTCTAAAATAATTTATTTCCTTGTTCAAAATTATCATTACCCTATCTACTACTACTTCAAATATGCTTTTACTCCAGTCACAGCATGCCATGAAATACAACTGACATGCTCCATATTGATTCAGAAATCTTCTCAGAGCACTAGTTTAAACAGAATTGATTAAAAGTATTCATGTTCTGTACCATTACTACCAGAAAATACAAATCAGACTCATTTTGAGGTTCTAACCATAGACTGTGAATATAATGCATTTATATATTGTTTGCAAACATTTTTAAGACAATGCAGCACTGTCCCAGGAGAGGACGTATCTGTGGAGAAGGGTCCTGGGGTTCTCAGAGGAAGAGAGACTCACCCCAGGACCAGCAGGGTTCTTGGCACACGTGATGGAAATGAAGTTCAGCATGAGCCAGACAGAGGCACAGACAGGGGTTTATTTAGGAGGTAGATGCACACTCAAGGGAGGAGGTGAGTGAGCTGCCTTGAGAATGGGAAGCCCTGCCCTGGGCTGGGGGTTCAATGTTCATTCAAGGGCTGTGTCAGGGGCAGACCAAAGGTGGAGCCAGGGTGGAGCTGCATCTTTTCACCTTGGTTTTCTCTGAGCTTATTTGTTGTTTTTCCCTCATTTTACAAGGGAATAGTCAAGAGCATGTTGCTGGAGATTGACAACTCTTTTCTGCATCTCAGAGGCTTGTGGGCGTTTCCTTCAGATTCAGTATTTCTCTGATTCAGGGATTCCTATAGTCTAAACACAGTCCAAAATTCTAAATCTCAAGGGAAAAAAGAAAATTTCATATCCTTTTTGTATTTCCAGTGGTATGTTGAAAAATTCTATTTTTCACATCTTCCAGGTGGAGCCACATGCCCTCCTGTCTGCAGGAGAGGCGCCCCTCCCTCAGCATGGGAGAACTCAGCTCTCAGTGCTTCTCTGAAGGCAGCTTCAGTGAGTAAGAAACATTACCTCTTCTTCCTATTGCTACCCACTTATTTTCCAGGTGTCTTGGTCGGGACTCACAGTGGCCCTCTCCTAGGAAAATGCATTTAGCCCTATTATGTGTGTTGCATAGCTCTGATACAGTGAGGGACAAAAAGAGGAGCATGAAGTGTCTGCATCCTCAAAGTCCTTCTATTTCATGTGAGGAGTAAGGACTGTCAACAGGAAGTTGATTAGTAAAAGGAGTGGACATCAGTGCCCTGGCCATCTACTTTAGACATTTTGGTTCAGACATCTAGAAACCCAGGGTCCTGCAGAGAGGCACACTGCATAAAGACAAGGCATTCCTTCTTACATGCTTTCTGTCTTTTCTGGAAAGTTCTCATTTCTCATTATTCAGCTCCCCACATACTGTCCCATAGCCCAGGTCTTGAGCCAACTCTTCCTGACCTGACCCATCTTCTCCGTCTCCTCCTTAGCCTGATCCCTACTCTCAATAACTCTGGGGTGAGTCTTACAACCTGGTATATTCCAGCAGTTCTCGTAGGTCATCTTACAGGATCTTTCCTTATTACACAGGCCATGGTGCAGCTGTTTGGAAAGCAGTCTGGCAATTCCTTGAATAGTGAATCCTAGAGTGCCCTGCACTCTAGCAACCCCACCATGGGTTAGACTCCCTCAAGTGGAAGCACTGGTCCACATGAACATTGGCACTCCAGAGGCTGGGAATGTCATCTTTAGACTACAATTCTTTTGATAGAGCATTTTTCCAGCATATGGTAGGTCCTAGGTTCAATTCCCAGCATCACAGGGAAAAAAAAGTACATAAGTGTTTATAGCAGTTTTATTCAAAAACATCAAAATTAGCAGTACACCAAATATCCATCAATTGCTGAATGGAAAAATAAAGTGTGTATATATATACACTGGAATATTACTTGATCATAAATAGAAGAGGAGAACTCATGGGTGCTACCACAGGCTGAACCATATGAAGAAATCTAGTTATTAAAGACCACACAGAATGTGAATTCATTTTTCTGAAATTCCCATGATAGGCCAAATTATAAAAACAGGAAGTGGATTTGTGTTTGCATGGATCTGATGTGTAGATGGGGATATGGAGAGTGACTCTAATTGGTACAAGGCTTCTTTTGGCATGGGGATAGTGTTCTGCAGTTAATTCTTCTGATGGCTACACAACTCTCACAGATACTAAAGGCCATTGAACTGTACAATTTAAATCATGCATTGAGTGATGTGTGAATTATATTACCACAAAGTATTAACTAGAACCCTTAGATTTCAAGAGAAAAGAGATTTTGGGCAAGGAATTACAAGACTATACCCAAAGCAGGTACTTGTGTCCTCTATCAAGACCTGTTGTTCTCAGTGTCCTTTGCATGTTTCCAGATGACTTATCTTTACAACTACTGAAGAACAGCTTTGTCCTGAAATGGGATTCCCAATTTTCCTATGATGCTCCTTAACAGCTGAGAGACCTTGACCCACAACCATCTTCCTCTATCTGAGCTCTACCCACCTCATCTCTGCTAAATGGTGTAGCAAGAGTGAGCGCCCCCATGCTTCTGTTCCACCTTACAGTCAGGAAAATTCAGTGGCTTCAATGCTTCCTTAAGGAAAAAAATCTTTAAACAATGTGTCCTTAATCAGTGAATGTTACTTGATTTGATTCATAAATTTAGGATGAGTGGAAATCATTGTTCTAATACAAAGCACTTTGAGTAGCTTGGAATTCAGAGTTCCAGGACAAATGCTATGAGTGATTCATGTGTCTCTAAGGTCACTAAGCATGTATGGAACTTGTAAAACTTAGGACTTCTACTGGTTTGTGCAGCGAGCTCATATATGACATATAGCAATGAATTTACATTATTATTAAATAGCAATTTTATGAAATTGCAACAGAAGTTTGTTTTCAGTTGATTACATGAAATAATATCATGTTTTGTACATGATTGTTTTGTTTTTTTCTTTTTCAGTACTGCATTTTAATCCAAGGGTGCTCTATCATGGAGCTACATCCCCAGCTCACTACTATTTTTTTTTTAAGACAGGGTCTTACTAAGGTGCCCAAACTGATCTCAAACTTGTGATCCTCTAGCCTCAGCCTCCTGAGAAGTTGGAATAACAAGCATGTACCTGCCTATTGATGATTTTTTAAAATATGTTCTTTGATCGGGTAAATCTCACATGCACAAAACATAATTTTATCCTTGGTTGCAGTGACGCTATATTGAACTGGACATCAGGTATAATTTTAAAGGCATCCACTCATGTGGGTCTGATCCAATGTGCTTAGCAGAGGAATTGTTCTTGAACCTAGTTGTGCAATTACATCCAAGGAAAGTCTGGAGATCAGCTGAAATCCTGTAAGCAACTCACTTTCCAGAAACAAGTCTTTGCAGACAGAAGCAGAGCTGCTACAGCTAAGCAGGCACCACAGAAGCTGCCAATGGAGGGAGCAGCTGGTGTGAACAAAATAATTCCAGTGGTCTCGGGAGGTTTTTGTCACACGTTGAATCACTGTGGGATACCCGTTACCATACTGGTAACAGTGGTACACTGCAAAGTCCTCGGGCTCCAAGCTTCTGATGGATGTGGTGAAGTCTGTGCCTGACCCACTGCCACTTACAACTCCGGAAGAACAGCTTTGTCTGTTTTTTACTCTATGAACATGATAAAGCATTTATATAAATCTTCTTTAATCCACAACGGGTACTGTATATACTGATAGTGTGTCCAGAGACTTTGTAAAATTATTACATGTTAAGATTTTTCTGCCACTGAACCAGGCTGAGACTCCACTGAGTCAGCTGGATGGACCATAGATAAGGAGCCTGGAAGGCTGCCCAGGCTTCTGTTGGTACCAGGAGAAGGAGCTACTAATACTCACACTGGACCTGCAGGTGAGGATATCTCTTTCTCCTGGAGACAAGGACAAGGAGCCTGGAGTCTGTGTCAACAGAGCATGTCCAGTGGCATCTGAAATTGAAAACAAAACAGGAGAGTCACCGTGTAATCTGGATCATACACCTGGTCTTCTCAGTAGAGCCAGAGAATTTCATCTGCACTGAGTTTTAATCCCTGTGCTAGCTGAGGAGAAATGCCATGACCCGGGACCAAACCACACTGAAAGACTTTTTAGAGTGCAGAACCATCCCATGGTCCCTCACAGGAGTCAGAGGAGCTGAATGGGAGCTGCCATGGCTCCCTCTTGGTCCCAGCTGAGGCAGAGCTTCTCAGAGCCCTGACCAGACTCTGATATGGCTCTTGAGAGCAGGGTGGGCTGAGAGGGGCATGCAAAGCAACTGGGAGGGGTGAACTGGACTTCCAGCTGCTGAGACTTTGCCTCCTCCTGTTAGCACTTGAGCACCCCATGCCCAGTGGTCATGTCAGAAAAGGACCTTGTCTCAACCTTAGTGTAGAATTTCCACCTATGATCAAAGAGTTTACCTTCCTGCCCTCCTGCCTCACCAAACACCTAGATCAGCCAGAAGGGGTTTAGTGTCAAACTGCTGGGGATGAAATAGAAGTTTGGGGCCTTTTTTCTTTCTTTCTTTCTTTCTTTCTTTTTTCCTCTTTCTCTAATGGGTCTAGCCATCGCCCCTGGTCATGATGGTATCTGGTTTAAATGAACCATGACGTTTTCTTCCATACATTTTTTTTCCCTTGCCCAAAGTTTCTGAAACAAAATTATTTTTTGAAAAATTCTAAAGACCAACATTCAGTCAGCCTTAGCAGTGTTGCCCCCTGGACAGCCATGCCTGTACAGAGGGGCAGGACCTGGGCCCTCAGCCTTTAGGGTACTGACACCATGTCCATGAAGACAGACAGTGTCTGTCCACACACACAAGAATCTATCCTTGGGTCATTCTCTATAATACTCAGTGGAGTGCACAACACACTCATCAACAGACGCTCAGGTGCTCCACCCTTAACAATCGTGGAAGGCTCTGTTTACACTCCTGATAAGGTGTCAACTAACATCGTAATCAGGGAGAAAATATTTAATATTTATTCTTTAGATTGATTTTTAAAAGTATCCACTTTAATCACTTTTATTTTACTGGAGGTCCTAGCAAATTCCACAAGGCAAAACAAGGATCTAAAAGGCACAAGTTTTGAAAGAAAGAAGTAAAATATTTTTATATTTTAATAACAAAATTTTGTGCATAAATTCTTAAAGACTTAACTGAAAAATCTTAACAAATTCTCTGGACACACTGTCAGTATATACAGTATCTGTTGTGGATTAAAGAAGATTTATATAAATGCTTTATCATGTTCATAGAGTAAAAAACTTGATATTATTAAGATATAATTTTTTCCCAAAATTTAGACATACATCCACAGACTCCAATAAAATCAGTGTCTACAAATGATTCCCTGAAATTGATAAACTGATGATAGACTTTATAAGGAAAATCAAAGAACCTAGTATGAAAACAAAAATTTAAAGAAGAAAGAATACTGATAATTTTTAATTTTAAAACCTATTGTAGGGAATATAGCTCAGTGGTAGAACATTTAAGAACATTTGCCCAGGAGGCACAGTGCCTGGGTTTTTTTCCCAGTGCAGTAGGAAAGAATATGTGTATATGTGTGTTTGTGTGTGTGTGTGTGCATGCACACATCTATGTAAAATTATATATATATGTAAAGTTGTATATATGCATGTATACATATATATGTTTCTTCTGTAAGAGTGAATTATAGGTACAACTGCAGTAGATATACAAAAAAACTCTGGGAGTTCATGTGGAGCCAAATATATAGTATCACCTCATTTCTAACAAAGGTAATAAAGAGGATCATGAGGATTTTTTTTTCATTTTTTCAATAATTTGCAAAGAGCAATTGGGTGTAAAAATAAAATTAAATGGACTTTAGAAAAATATTCTCACCCATATCTTATCAGTAAACATAATTAACAGAGGATCATAGTCTACAGGTAAGAGCTAAAATAATGCAGCTTCTAGAGGAGCTCAGGAGGATAAATTCCAACCTAAAAGAGGCAGTTTTAAACAGGAAACAGATGTGCACAACCATAACAGAAGGAAAACATTGATACATTAAACTAATGAAAGCTAATTAAAGATACTATAGAAGACAAAAATAACTGGATATCCCATGTCCATGAATTGAAATATGCCCATACTACCCAAAGTGAGATAGAGGTTCAATGTCATCCCTCTCAAAAGCCCAGTGGTATTTTTGAAGCAAAATTTGTGTGGATTCACAAAATAACATAAAGAGCCAAAGCAATCTCAGAAAAGAACATCACATTTCCTGAATTTAAACTGTAATGGAAACACTATGGTACAGGCAAAAATGGCTGATATATAAGCCATTGATATATAATGGAAAACCTAGAAATGAACCTAAACAGTCTTTCACAAAAACATTAAGAACACACAGTGGGGAAAGAAAATCTCATCAACAAATAGTTTGGGGGAAAATGGATACACACATGCAAAGAATGAGACTAGACTCTTGTTCTATACTATATACAAAATTTAACTCAAATTTATTAAAGAATTAAATATAAAACTTGACAATGTAAAACCTAAAAGAAAACATAGGGGAGGAGTTCCTTGACATTGGTTTTATTAATGTCTTTCAAGATTTTACACTAAAAGCATGGGCAACAAAAACAATCATAGACAAATGGAAGTAAAAATTCTGTAAAGCAAAGGAAATAACAAAAGGAAGATGAAACTTACATAATGAGAGAAAATATTTGCAAAATATTTCTAATAATATTTAGTATTCAAGATATCTAAATATTTCACAAAACTCTACAGCAAAAATCAAGAATAAAAACAAAAAAAAAAACATGATTTAAAATGGACCAAAGACATGAAGAGACAATTTTTCAAAGAAGATGTATAAGTGGTCACCAAATATTTGAATAAGTACTCAATGTCACTCTTACATTTAGATATGAGATATCACCCAAAAGCTCATGCACAGGACAATGAAAAAAAGCTTAGAGGTGAAATTATGGGATTATGGAAGCTTTATCCTAGTCAGTGAATGAATCCACCAATGCAGATTAAATGGTGGCAACTGTAGGTAGTCAAGGTGTAACTGAAGGAGGTAGGTCACTGAGGGTGTCTCTTTGGGTTTATATTTTGTCCCTGGTTGGAGGAGCTCTCTCTGCTTGCTTGTTGCCATGTCCTGAGCTGCTTTCCTCCTCTATGTCTTTCCACCATGATGTCCTCAGTGCTATGGAGTCATCCATCTGTAGTCAGAGACATCTGAATCCATGAGCCAAAATATATTTTTCCTCCTCTGTGTTTTCTTCTCTGGTATTTTGAAAAAGTTGACTAAAACAAAAATTCATACCAAGAAGTACCATGGTTGCTGTAACTAACCTAACCACATGTTTCAGATTCTTTGGAAACTTTTTGGAACTTGTGGGCACAATTTTGAAAAGATTAGAGATGCAAGTTGGAAAATCTTTAGGTTGTTGTGAGCAGAGTTTAATGGGTGATTCTGATGAAAACTCATAGACCAGAATGCCGATGGAACTGTGGACAGTAAAGACTGGGCTCATGAGTTTTCAGAGGAGGAAGACTCTATTCCAGGGATTGAATTCAGGGGCACTCAACCACAAAGCCACATCCCCACTCCTATTTTGATTTTTATTTAGAGACAGGGTCTCATGAGTTGCTTAGCACCTCACTTTTGCTGAGGCTGTCTTTGAACTCCATCCTCCTGCCTCAACCTCCTGAGCTGCTGGGATTACAGGCATGTGGTATGTGGATTGAGACTTTCTATGACAGTGAATTTAAAGCTGATGGACTAATTAGTCTGATGTAGAAAATTCCATCCCTTGTATGCTTTAAATCATCTCTTTTATGTGGTTTTGTTCCACTATATTATTTAGAGAATAATGTCATGAAAAGAGTCTGTTATATTCAGGACAGATACATTTTTTTCTGAAATATGTTCAATTTATTATTGGTTGAATCCAAAGATGCAGAACCCATGAATGCAAATGTTTGATTTGTTTTTCAAAAAATATATTAAAATTCAAAAACAGAAAGCAA